AATAGAGAGCTTATCCGTTCACCACATTTGCAAAACTTTTGTTGTATGTTGTTCTTTTTTCGTAAAATGGTCACGGTTATGACAGGCATCGTCAATGTGTATTACCGTCCCATAATGACACCCGGAAGTGTAAGGCTGTCTAGATTCAGCATAGCAGACTAAAGTTACTTTCTTATCCACAAATCGTTCTCTAAAAAGTGCTAGGAGCTCCAATCTTCCCATTCGGAATCAGCCTCAGTGTCCTATAGACCTTGGATAAGTATGATACATTTTTGTCTTAAGTTTGTCCCTGGAATGACCCAAACTCAAAAACAAACAAACAAAAAAAACACTTTACAATAAAAGTTTCAAAAAATAAATAAGATTCTAAGGAACAGAACCCTTCAGATGATAGACATCAACATGTTTCTCTCCACTTTCTGAGTTTTTGACCTCCAGGTCTCTGTCCCCAGTCCTATATCTGTCCAACGTTGTGTCCCCCATCAGCTTAAACCCTTCATTAGCTTCACTGTGGCTCAGTCAGCTTCCCTGCACTGTGGATTAATCATTCTGTTGGTAATATATGTGAAGATATACCTGCTTACAGCACTGTGCTGAACCACCTTCCAAGGAGCCAGACTTTTATACTCCTTCCTCAACAGTTATCTGGGCTTTTTGAAGGTCTTCTAAAATATTTGTGATCTCTAAAAAGTTAATACGTTATTGTTTAATGAAAATAAAAACACATCAAATTTTGCTGAGAAACGGGATCACTACTGGGATGAACAGGATGTGAAACACAATGGTTTAAAGAAAGAAAGTTCTGGCTCTTTGGAGGTTTTGTGTTTTAACTGGTTTTTGCAGATTGAAGATTTTGGGACATTTCTTGTTCTTTTTTTTTTTTTAAAGCAAAAGTTAACTTTTTCTTATGACTGTTTTTACTTTTTTATTGAAGGTAACAGCTCTGAAACCAATAAGGAAGATTAAAAAAAAGAGTTAAAAGTTTTAGACTCTCTCCTCAACAACTTATCTTTATATTTGCATCTTCTTAAAGGTATACTATGCAACCGGTGTTGATTTTCCAGCGAGGCTCCCCCCAGAGGGC